CCAAATAATGTTTCTAACAAAGTCCCCAACAACGACGGGTAGGCTAGTTTAGTAGGACAGTCTGCAAGTTCGAAACCTCATTTTGTGAATTAACTTCAAGTAATTTACACTGTCCTCTTGTTTAAAAAAAAAATAAAAAAAATAAAATAATTGTCCAAGTCAGTGGCATATCCTGTAAATGTGAAAAACTTGCAGGGTCGTTTTCCCAACCGGTCATCCTCCTCAACCTCAAACTCCCATCTCCTTCCCTACTGCTTTCGGATAAATTTGTTTGTTGTTGTTTTTTTTTAATAAAATAATTCAAGGAAATCAAAATTAGGGTTTGGATTTCCCCAATTAAGTTCCATTGCTTTCAATCAACTCATAATTTGCGCGTGATACGACTCGTTTTGAATTTTGGGTTCTGGGTTAAATATTTTTCGTATCAGAAATGGCAGAATCCGATCACCAGAATTCAATGTACAGCACCGGAGGAGGAGTGACACAGAGTAACCAAGTTGACGACCAAGACGACGACGTTGAAGAGCCCATTGACAACCGTAACATACGCTTCGAAGATAGCACCGCCATTCCTCCAAATCAACTCTACCTTCCCAGCTCCGAATACCCTCCGCCGCCCGCCGCAAACGGTGCCTCTGATCAGCTTACTCTGTCCTTCCAGGGTGAAGTTTATGTCTTCGACGCTGTTTCGCCTGATAAGGTAAGGTTTAGTGCTCAACTTGTGTGAGTTGTGCTGTGGTAGTGATTGACTTGTACCAGTTTGGCATTCCCGAAATGTCTTGTTCTTCTCTGAAAGTTTGATTTTTGATCAACTTGTGAGAAAGGGTTGCATAAGGAGCTTGAGCTTTTGTGGTTCTCTTTCACAGGTGCAGGCGGTACTGCTACTTTTGGGTGGATATGAAATCCCTTCTGGCATTCCTTCCATGGGGCCGGTTCCTCTTAACCAGCAAGTATGTACTTTTAGATGTGTATAAATCATGCCAAGTTTCTCGAAATCGTAGTTTTTCAGTTGGTTTTAACTTTTTTTTTCCTTTCACTTTGCTGCTGTAATGACTTTTCTTCCAGGGTATGAATGACTTACCTGCAAAGCCAATTCAACCGCAGAGAGCTGCATCTTTAAGTCGGTTTCGCGAGAAGAGAAAAGAACGTTGTTTTGATAAGAAAATCCGTTACACCGTTCGGAAAGAAGTTGCGCTAAGGTATGGCAAAATCATTACTTATTTAATAATTTTCTTTAACTTTTCGTAATTGAAAAGCATTTCTCCTTCCTCTTCGGAATGTATATACCATCACAGCTCTGATGATGTAGTTGTTTTTATTTTATGAGAATTGGTATAATATGTAAATTGCGGTCATTAGTGTTCGTATGGTCTTGATGTTGGTATGCTTATCATCAAGCAATCTGTACTATTTTAAAGAATAGTAAGATGTCTTCCTTTGAGGAATTTTTGTTGTATGGATTGATGTACATATATATCTTTTAGGCTTTTTAGTCGAAATGGTCCCTGAGATTTGCATAACACATCACTTTGGTCTCTGAGATTTAAAATCAATAGAGGTGGTCCCTGAGATTGTCCACCATCCATTATTTTGGTCATTCTGTTAAAAAAACTCCGTTAAATTAAGGGTATAACACAAAACTTTGGTTCCTGAGATTATCTACAATCCATCATTTTTGTCCTTCCATTAAAAAACTCAAGAACCGCTTAATGGAGTTTTTTAATGGAAGGACCAAAATAATGGATGGATGGAAGGACCAAAATAATGGATGGTGGACAATCTCAGGGACCACTTCTACTGATTTTAAATCTCAGGGACCAAAGTTATGTGTTATGAAAATCTCAGGGACCATTTTAACTAAAAAGCCTATATTTTAATATTCAGCTATTCATATTATTTTCAGTTTGCTAAAAGCAATTAAGAGAGAAAAAAGACATTCCTAAAATTAATTTAGAACAGCGCTCGAGTCTGAAAATAAAATGTAAGATGATAATTCCCAAAACTCAGAAGAAACTGAAGCCCAAACAATCACAACCTTACTTCATCTGAGGAAACGTCGACCACTTCTCTATAATCTCCAAAACTTCTTATGTTTCTCCTCCAAGCCAAACTAGGCCAACACTGCATGGTTCCATGTAACCGTTTCCTTTTTTCCTCCCCCCCAAAGAGTTAAGTATCTCCCAGGAAATAGATACACGATCAGCTGGAATTACCACCTCAGTCCTCCGCTAAACACAACTTCATCCACAAATCTAAAGCAATAGGACAGTGAGGAAATAATCCTCCCTTCTTTTTCCTATTGCCCTCACTTTTGAATGGTATAGATTTTTTTAGACGTTTTGATAACCTCATGTCAGGACAATTACCATAAGTTCGTAGCGCATAAGAATCTGTGTGCAAAAGACTGGTTGGTAGATATTTTGTATATGATTTTTTTTTCTTTCTTCAGTTGAGTACTTTTAAAATGAAATGTAAAGGTTGTCTCATTCAATAGCACAGTGCAAATGACATGGATGTGAAATGAAAATGAAGGTCATGATTTATGTAGTTATCATAGACCTGATAGACAAGGTTTAGGAAAATATTAATGGAAAACCACCTGTCCCTTACTCCTATGCCTTTTTCTTTAATGACTTGACGTTTGTGTTATTTCAGAGTCCTTTTTGTCCTAGCCAACTTTAAATATGTGGTGTGTATATATTTCAGAATGCAGCGTAAAAAGGGTCAATTTACATCGTCTAAGGCTAGTTCCGATGATGGAGGCCCTGCGTCATCTACACAGGGCTCTGGTCAAGATGAAAGCATGCGGGAAACTTCGTGAGTGTCATTTCCATATTCATATATTGCTGATTATGTTTTTAGTACAATTGGATTTTTGATTTTGTTGTACTCTAATTGTGTATTTGTTATTCCAAGACAAATACTAACATCCTCTGTGTTCTGAAAAATAACGATTAATGCCTTTTCAGGTGCACACACTGTGGGATAAGCTCAAAGTCAACTCCGATGATGCGTCGTGGGCCAGCAGGTCCAAGGACTCTATGTAATGCATGTGGGCTGAAATGGGCCAACAAGGTTTGTAGGATTTATAAATCCTTAGTTATTTTTGTCTTTTAATCCTCTTTACTATGTATGCATATTTAAAAAGTTATATATGAGTGCAAATTAGACATTATATTGTTTGCGTTGTCATAACTGCCTTGTGGAATATTCAGACGCGTAAATGAGAGAGAACAGATCCATCTAATTATGAGAGACAACATACTTATAGCCACACAAGAAACATCGAGTAATGAATGCACAGTAAGAAATTGATTCTTTACGTGATCTCCACTTCTGCATTCTTTTGTTTCACTTACCCACTTGAAGTGTTTTGAGAGGTTGGGGTTAAATTCTAATTTCTTCTTAACGCTTATGTCATTTTTCGTCTGTGTAACAAGTGTCTGCTTAGAGCATCTTAAAGCATTTCAGTCATTTATATCAATCCTAAGAACTTCCTCTTGGGGACCGTAGCAGAGAACAACTCTTTGGTCTACAAGTTCTTAGTTGAAATAAGTAACCGTTTCTATTCCTTTAGATTTTATTCCACGGTTGTGACAAACGCCTGCAGTGGGAATGTTTTTCTTTAAAGAAAAGAAACTTTTATTAATCGCAACCTTTACACCAATGTAGTGGACAATGCGTCCAAGGTCAGAACAAAACAAATTTTTGTCAGCTTGCAAAATTTCAGTCCTGAAATAAAAGAAAATAGGTGGCTGGCAATTTACCAATAATCGGAGAGACTTTAATTGTTATATACTGAAATCAAAAGCTTAGAATGTCCCGATGTAAGACTTCATGCTTTCAACCCACCCCTAATGGATGGATAGAGATAAGCATCTGGATTAATGAGTTCAAGTGTATGGCGAAACTGGACCTGACATGTAGAATAATTGTCCTCTATAAAAGGCATTGTTGAACAATGTTTTTGAATCCATTGAACCAAAAAATGGAAACAATGTTCTTGAAAAGGAGTATTTTTACCAATCGTTAGGCTAAGACCATTTCAGCCACCTTGCATCTCATTTGTGTACTATAAATATGATGGAGTTGACATCTTTGTTGGTGGTGGATACTGAAACTTTATTGAAAGTGATTGCTGGTGATTGTTCACTCATCTCAGTGTATGCTCAACATTTTGCAGGGATCTCTAACAGGTGTTCCTAAGGTTTTAAATGTAGGTATCCACGATCCTTCTTTAAAAGGAATTGAACAGGTACATCACCTCAAGCACCCCCTGAAAAATGATAAAGTTAGTTTTTTTTTTTTTTATAATTTATTTGATATATGGAATTTTTTGTTTGTTGTAAATCAGAGTAACGGCGAAGTTCAAGACTCTGATGTTGTAGCCATGGGTGCCAACGTTGCCCCTTCCTCAGCTAATGGCGATAATTCAGCCATGACCGTAGACAGGAAATTGTGAAGTCCCTTGCAGCCTGGTTGTTTTCCGTTTGCTGTATTATCACAGAGGATGTAGATGGGAGAAGTATGTCATCGAGCGTACATACAGTTTAGGGACTTAGAGCTATAAATAAATTGGTTTGAAAACTCTTTATTTTGTGTAATCTTAAGTATTGGGACCATTTAGAAGCTAGCATTTGCAGTAGCAGCGGTAATTCTCTTGCCAGTTCTTCCTTGTCTACAATATAATCCATAAAGTTAACTACTAGTGATCAATGCAATCTTTTCTTTTTGGTTCGTCAAATGATCAATGTAATCGATGTATAGCGGTCAAGTGATCGATGTTTTCTTTCGGGTGATCGATGTAATCCTTTGTGTTTTTCCTAAGTGGAGTAAGAAATAAAATGTGGCAGCTAGATCTATTGCTGAGGCCGAGTTGGGTGAGAGGGATTTCTATAGCTTTTAGAAAATTCTCACTGTGAAATTTGAATTCAGTTCTAACAATCTTTGTAATTCCGACGGCCAAGGGAATTCCCCTGTGCTTGTCCCGTTAAAATTCGTTTTATTTTATAACTAACTCTTAGTCTAGTAACAGTATTTCTTTCCTCAACGTTGAAAGATAACTTAAATTCGAATCTCCCATCACCGTTCGTACTAACATAATAAAAGGTTAAAAGGCTTAAAGCTCTCCATCCCATAAATCTTCAAGTGACTTGTATGGTGACGGTCCATTCGCTGAAACCATGTCTTCTCTAAGCATCATTTTGCGCTGCGGGATTTGGTTGATCTTCTCAATGTCGGTTTCGGAAAGTTTCCAGTCAAAGATGTCGACATTTTGCTTCAACCTCTCTTTGTTGTAGCTCTTAACAGCAAGTGTTGCCCCTGCTTGATACACCCATCTAATACATACCTGCCAAAGAACCACAGTTTTCTGTTTAGGGTTAGGGTAGGATTTCTTCTCCTAGTTCTCTTTGTATTCTTGCAAAGCAAGTAACATTACTGTCATTGACACCTACTCGGAACAAATTAAAGAAAATGAATGACAAGGTAATAGAGAATTACTTGAGCTATAGTCTTTCCCCGTTCCTTCGCGATCTCCTGAAGAACTTTGCTTTCAAAAACATGATTACTGCCCCAACAGGACCCTATGCCACCCAAAGGAGAAAAGGCAGTCACAATTATACCATTAGTTTTGCAGAAGTCTCTAAGCTTCTTTTGTTGCCATAACGGGTTCATCTCGACCTGATTCACTGAAGGAGGAATCGTAGCGAAAGAGAGTATATTTTCAATCTTTTTGGTAGAGAAGTTGCTGAGTCCAATGGATTTGGTGAGGCCTAGTCTCTGGCATTCTTCCATGGCTGCCCACACAGCCTTGAAGTCCATGGGCATAAGGTCCCCTGCATTCAGTGGGTACACCAATGTTCCTGGCTTAGCACTGATGGGCCAGTGAATGAGATACAGGTCCAGGTACTTCAGTTGAAGATTCCTGTACACAATTTAGAGTATCAGGTACAGTCACATGCACGTGGCTCGAGTAGGTTTGGTTTTAGTGGCTCGATCAGGGATTTTTCGATGCGTTAGTTAGGGTGTGATTCTATCCATGTCATTTCGGCTTTGCGTGCACATTCATTATGAATGTGATGTTGGGATTAGTCAAGCGGGAATGCTTATAACCCATATTTAAAGTCATGCTTGCTCTTCGTATGTTTCTTGCAATTGAGATAAGTACCGTCCATTTTTTCATGTTACATTGCTTTTGCAATGTAATTTTTGCATTGCAGCAAAACAGAAAAATTCCCATGCTTGAAATAATGAAAAACTAAACTAAATTATAAACATTGTGATGAGATAGTGCGAGTAGAGTACTCACTGAAGTGATTTGTGCAGGGCAGGAATAACCAGATGAGGGTGAGCATCAGTAATCCATAACTTTGAAGTGACGAAGACTTGATCTCGAGAAGCAACCAGACCAAGTCCAAGTGCTTCTTGGATGGCTTCTCCCAGAGTATGCTCCGACCCGTACATAGAGGCCGTATCAAAGTGCCTGTAACCGAGCTTGATGGCCTCGACAACCGCTGTTTTCAGAACATGAGATTGTAACTTGTCCGCTGCTGTGCCAAAGCCAATCACCGGCATGCTCCTCGAGCCGGTCGACGATGCCAGCACCACCTCGGGGATTTTGTTTGCAGCTGCCGACACATCTGGTGCATTCGCCATCTTTTGTTTCTTCTCTTTAACGAAGTAATATTTTACGATAATTTTTTTCTTTTTGGTATAAATTAAAGTTGCTTTTAAACGTCTAAAATTAATTAATTGTCGAATTTTTTTGTCAAACTTGGTTGGAAACTGAAAATAGGATTATTTAACTCTCCTCTGTAAGGCTGTTAGGATAATTGATTATGTTATTAATTAGGTTAAGAACGGCTGAATAAGTAAAAGTGAATGTTTCCGATTTGCCATTTTCTTTCTTTCAGTTTTTTAAATTTAAAAAAAATTAGTTTTACGTGATTTTCTAGTGAAGTAAAACCTTAAATCTTTTTTAATCAAATAGAGACAGTTATTACTAAATCAAAAACTAGTTCGTAAGTGTTAGTAATGAACTCGTGTATCATTTACCAAGAAACAATTGGTAGCCTTTTCTTTATCTAATTGAAAAAATTGGTAATATATATAACATATATTAATATAGTGACAATGATAATGGTAAAAAAAAATGTTACGGATACATATTTGTCCTCGTTGTGGTAGATATGCCTTCGGGGCTTATGTTTTTGTGATAGCCGAGGGAAGAAGAGGCATATCCTCACATTTTTTTCGCAAGCCTTCCCCTATAAACATCTTTCATTATTCTTCTTTACAACCCTTCTCCTATTAGTCAATAATACAAAACACATTATAAACTATCTCCTATTTAAAATTCCAACTCCCATATTTGATTCCATCCCAACACTAATTTAATATTTATTTATTGGACATAATATCAATAACCTTTTACATTTTAATAAAAAAAATCTTTTAACATTAAACCCGTTCACTTTTAATTAAAACAAAACACTTCTCTGGTCCTTCTTTCACAGTCAACCCAGGAGCAAGAGTCCAAGTAAAAAGCTGTTACTCTTCTCATTTCTTGAAATTTCGTATCTATTTTCATATAAATATCAAATTAATTCAACAAAAACAATACTCTTTGTAAAATCTATCTTACTTTTTATAATTTTTTTTTTATTGTTTCTCGTCTATCTTACATCTTACTTAAGTGTTAGAGTTTGGACTTTTTGATTAATTCTTGTTATTAAATTTAATGGTTTCAAAATATGAAAATTCGTGAGAGACAATTTTGCTTATTGAAAATATAAAATATTATAGATGCATGTGTTATTATGGTGTTTTGATTAGTAGTTGTGTAACTGTTATTCGTCATATTTTTTTGCAGTTGTGAAAGACCCCTCCTCACATGAAATCCTAGCTCCATCACTGCCGAAAGAGCATGAGTTTACTTAATTACTGGTTATTCAAATTTCTTCTCCGATTAAGAAATTAGTTACTCAAAAAGATATACCAATTCGACAACTTCTTGTATTTGTTATGTTCTTATTAATGAAATATCTCAATCTGCCAAAAAGAAAAAAAGAATAAGAAAAAGCCCCGACAAATTAAAGACCCGTTAGTGATATGAACTTAAATCACATGTGATATGTCATTGTAAGTTGAAACATAGAACGTGTATAACTGATGCAGACTAATACAAGACTGATATTCCCTCTCCTCTCTTGAGGATAAATCTCACATTGATAGGAGGAGAGATCTTATATGAGCTTATAAGTAAGTTGGGCTACTCCCTACACTGTCAATTGATTTTATGGTGGAATCTTAACTTTCTTTATGGTATCAAAGCAAATTATCCTACGTGTGAAGCCCAATGCCCACATGTGCTCCACGTCACCCTATGTTAGGCTTAAAAATTCGTCACACAAGAAGGAGGAGATTTAGAATGAATCCCACAATGATGGGAGGAGGGACCTTGCATGGGCTTATAAGTAAGTTGGGCTACTCCTCATACTATCAACTGATTTTATGGTGAAACCTCAACTTTCTTCATGGTATCAAAGCAGATTGTCCTACGTGTGAAGCCCAACGATCACACGTGCTCCACGTCACCTTGTGTTAGGCTTGAAAATTCATCACACGTGACGGTGGGGATTGAAAATGAATCTCACAATGATGGGAGGAGGGACCTTGCATGAGCTTATAAGTAAGTTGGGCTACTTCACATACTGCCAACAATGGCGGGGCCAGAAAATATTTGGTGGGTGGTGATGAGTTGATATTTTACTATATATTTTACCTATTCTTCGTATTAATTTATTGGTTATTTTGTGAGAAGTTTGATACTTTGATTTATATTCTTAATGTAAGACATTCGACTTCCTTTGGAGAAAACAGTAGTCAAATGGATGAATTTTGGAGTGATTCCAATTGGTAGAACTTTGTGAATCTGTTGACTTGATCGTGTCAAAGTTTCATAATTTTCTACCAAGCGGTTTATTTATGGCGATGAAATAAAGGAGTAGCGTGTAGTGTTGTCAAACTGATGTTTTGGGATTCTTTGGGCTTTTCGGCGTCTAATGCTGTCAAACTGACGTTTTGGGATTCTTTGGGCTTTTTGGCGTCCAAGATGATGTCTTTTGGGTTTGAGGCCTTCTGCAATTATGTTTGGGACATCTCAAGCTTTAATTCTACCCATTTTAGGCCTGTTTTGGAGCCTAAAGATCCAGAAATGTGGCTATTTGGAAACTATGCAGATTTTAGACGAATTTTACTAGTCAATTTAGGATGATGTTTCCTAATTTATTTTAATTTATTTGGTTTCCTAGTATTATTCTAAGATCTTTTCTAGGTAGGGTTTTATTTTCTAGTATTATAAATAAGGCTTTTTAGCCATTAGAGTTTAGGGGGGAAAGAAGAGAACGCACACACTATTTGGAGATATGCTTTTGACGATTCAAGTTTATTTTCAAGGTGTTTTCTATCCTTATTTTAATAATATTTTGTTTTATGATTATTCGTAACTAGTTTCGTTTGCTAGGGTGATGCCTTAAGCCTTAGCACAAATATGTAGTCTTTATTTAATTGCTTATGATATTATACATGCATACTTTGAATTATTAATCACTGTGTTTAAACTGTCTCTATATCTTAATGCTTAGCTACCATTAGGATGTTTAGCTAAGTGATCGGATGCAATTCGGTCGGAATGCTACTGGAGGATTAAGTATTGCTTCTTGTGATTGATAGTTGTAATTTCATCTAGTGCGAATACCACGTCTTAGGGGTTGCATGGTTTTTTCAAAGGGTTTTCAAAAAGCGTAATGAGTCATGCATGTTTATATTTGATATGAATACCACAAACGGATTGCATGTTTGATATATGTTCTAGCTTGAATGCCACAAGTAGAATATGCATAAAGAAAACATAACCTTCAAAGTTGCATGGGTAATTCATAAGTAATTGATAAATCTACATAGGATTGTTAAGGGGACGGTGGAACCCTAGGCTTTTACAATTTGGTTTTCAAAACTATGTTCTTTTGTTTTCTTTACTTTGTCAATTTATTTAATCATTTTAATTAAATTCATTTTTATTATTTTTAAATTCAAAATCAACTTTTTCCAATCTTCGTTTTCAAATAATTAATTAAGATTTGGTATTTACATAAATTATTCATTCAATCCCTGTGGATAATGACCTTACTAGAGCCATCTATACTACAATTACCTTGTACTATTGCAAGTATTTTAAGTGTTTTTATCCCTACTTTTACTGGTGGTAAAATCCCTATCAAGAAATTGGCGCCGTTGGCAGGGATTGTTTTAAATAATTTGTGTTTATCAACTCTTAGTTAATTATTGTTGTACATATTTTTTTATTTACTTGATTTTTTTTTAGGTTACAATTTGTGCAACAATGGAATTTGTACCTCCTCCTGAATTCAATATACAACCCCGAGGACCGCCTTTATGGGTCAAATTTGCATAATGGGGTTTTTATGGATTTAAACCTACAATTTGTGCACTTTGTTGCTTGAAGACCCATGATATTTTGTAGTGCCCCAATAAGGAATATTTTCTAGGATTTGTCCAAGAGCATATCAATATGAGAAACGACTCAAAAAGAAATTGGAACAATCCATATTCAGAGTTCTACACCCAAGCTTGCAAAGGCATCTTGAGCACTATTTTGAGCAATTTAATGTGCCACAGGAGCTTCCGGTAGAGGACAAACTCTCTAAATTGTTGGAATCAACTGAGTTGTACATTGAAATAACCAATCAAGGATTTTTTTATTCAAGCATTAAACTATGGGAAGAGCTTTAATGATAAGAGGAGATTGGTACAGGAACTGAGGAGCATTCGGCCACTTATTCACACCCAAGGGAGGAAACAACACATGTTGATCCTGAAATCCTCCCAGAACCGAGTGCTGCCCATGTTTATGTGCTACATGAACTTTTACCACAAAAATTGCAGGAATGCAGTGAAACTAACGGACTGGATGGGGATGCTCACACCAAATCAGAATCTTGGAAATTACATGGCTAGCTATTGGACACGGGGCAGGCTACTTATATCAATGTTTTAGATGCTGTAACAATCTGTGCACCTGCACAACCCTTTAAACTTGAGGAAATTCATGTGCAGTCTCACAAGAAGGCTAAGACATACAAGGAAGGTAGAGAGATGAGTATCAAGTGGAGTGGCGCTGGGCTCGAGGCTAGAGAGAAGATGAGAGAGAGAGGCCTTCCAACAACAGCTTGTTGGAAATGAGAAATGAGAGCTGAAACTACATTTAAATAACAACTAGGCACTACAAAAAAACTTGTTAAATACGATGCTAAAAACTCGTCGTGTAAAGTCATGAAAGCGTCGTTTATGCATTTTAACGATCGTCATGCGACGCTTGTGATAGCGTAGCAACAAACCCATGTCGCAAAAGTTTTCACAACTTATTGCGACGCATTATAAGCGTCGCAAAGTTTATTTACGACAGCTTTGCAACACAATAGTTAGCGTCACAACTGCTTTGATGGGAATTAAACAAAATATTTGGGACATGTTTAGGAACATGAGATGAATAATTTATGAATAATTTATGTAAATACCAAATCTTAAAAACAGAATAGATGGCTTTAGTAAGATCGTTCTCCACAGGGATTGAATGAATAATTTATGTAATACCAAATCTTAATTAATTATTTGAAAACAAAGATTGGAAAAATTTGATTATGAATTTAAAAATAATAAAAACGAATTTAATTAAAATGATTAAATAAATTGACAAAGTAAAGAATACAAAAGAAAATAGTTTTGAAAACCAAATTGTAAAAGCCTAGGGTTCCGTCATCCCCTTAACAATCTTATATAGATTTATCAATTACTTATGAATTACCCATGCAACTTTGAAGGTTAGGTTTTCTTTATGCATATTCTACTTGTGGCATTCAAGCTAGAACATATATCAAACATGCAATCCGTCTGTGGTATTCAGATCAAATATAAACATGCATGACTCATTAAGCTTTTTGAAAACCCTTCGAAAAACCATGCAACCCCTAAGACGTGGCATTCGCCTTAGGTGAAATTACAAGTATCAATCACAAGAAACAATACTCAATCCTCCAGTGGCATTCCGACCGAATTGCATCCGATCACTTATCTAAACATCCTAATGGTAGCTAAGCATTAAGATATAGAGACAGTTTGAACACAGTGATTAATAATTCAAAGTATGCATGTATAATATCATAAGCAATTAAATAAAGACTGCATATTCATGCTAAGGCTCAAGGCATCGCCCTAGCAAACGAAACTAGTTACGAATAATCATAAAACAAAATATTATTAAAAACAAGGATAGAAACACCTTGAAAATAAACTTGAATCGTCAAAAGCAATTCTCCAAATAGTGCGTGCGTTCTCTGGTTTCTCCCCAAACCCTAATGGCTAAAAAGCCTTATTTATACTACTAGAAAATAAAACCTACCTAGAAAAGGTCTTAGAATAATACTAGGAAACCAAATAAATTAAAATAAATTAGGAAACATAATCCTGAATTGACTAATAAAATTCGTCCAAAATCTACATAGTCTCAAAATAGTCATGTTTCTGGATCTTCAGGGCTCCAAAACAAGCCCAAAATGATTAGAATTAAAGCTTGAGATGTTCTGAACATAATGCAGAAGGTCTTGAACACAAAATACATCATCTTGGACGTCAAAAAGCCCAAAGAATCCCAAAACGTCAGTTTGACAGCACTACATGCTGCTTCTTTATTTCATTGCCACAAATAAACCGCATGGTAGAAAATTATGAAACTTTGATACGATCAAGTCAATAAACTTACAAACATCCTCCAAATTCATCCGCTTGACTACTTTTTGCTCCAGAGGAAGTCGAATGTCCTACATTAAGAATATAAATCAAAATATCAAACTTCTCACAAAATAACCAATAAATTAATACTAAAAATAGGGTAAAATATATAGTAAAATATCAACTCATCAGGTGGACTAAGCTAAAAGGTTTGAACTTATGAAAATTGGAAAAGAAATGCTAGAGACACTTTCTCAAAAGTGAGACTCTCTGCCTCCTCATATTTTTGCACAATTCTCATACTTTGAGGAGAGTTCATAGAGGGGAACGAGTATTCTCTCAGGATCCTCTTTGTGAGGATCCAGAGGATCCTTTAATCATATTCGTTCATCGTAAATCATGCGGTCAATTTTTGTTAGGTATTATTTGTGTTCAATTTTAAATAAAAATTTTAAAATAATTTCTGACCTCACGATGTACGATGAATGAACACGATTAGAGGATCACCGGAATCATCACAAAAAGGATCCGGAGAGGATCCTCATTCCATAGAGTCCCACTTATGCATTTCTCAAATTGGAATTGACATTTTATAGTCGTGTGTGAGTGATAGACTTTCAGACCTCAAAAGGTCACGTGTTCTATGCTTTTTTTTTTCTTTGAACGCACAATATTATCTACACTAAAGACTTAGCCTCACAATGAGCTAGCAATAATGTGATTTAAATTCATCTTTGGCGAGAATCCAATCTAAAACCTCTCTCTTTCAAGTTAAATCAATAACATAAAGATCTCTTATTCTTTGAAACCTTGGAAACGTGTAAGATAATTATATTAAATGTATTAAATGTATTAAATTCTTGAACTGATCAATTTATGTAACATTATTAACTCTTATTTTTCTTAAAAGCAGTTATATGGCTGAGATCTAACTTTTTACAGTGAAACCTCAACTTTTTTCACTTCTACCAGTGATTGAATTCATGGCATCACACCATTTGAAACATTCTTGTCTCTCTTAATTTTTTGAAGCCATAAAACCATTAACCAAAACCAGTTAGAAATAAATCTCCAAAACATTCTTATATATAGCTTGTTGAAGATTTCAAAAGGCATTCTTCTTGAAAATCCATCCAATCTGTTAGTAGGATTTCAATCCAAATTTCTTAACCTTTCCTCATTCAATAATCAATTATGTCCGTGATTGAAAGCTCGAAGCAACGGCATGTTGCTGTTCTTGCTTTTCCATTTGGCGGCCACGTTGAGCCCCTGCTTAACTTGGTATGCAGGCTAGCTAGCAGCACATCCCCAGATATGTGTTTTTCTTTCCTCAACTCAGAAAGATCAAATAACGTGCTATTTTCGGAGAAATCAGAATCCAACATTCCTAGCAACTTAAAACACTACAATGTGTCAGATGGTGTGCCGAAAAATCATGTCTTGAAAGGGCATCCAATGGAGGTAGTGGATCTATTCCTCAAGGCCACACCTGCAAATTACAAAATTGGAATAGAGAAGGCGGTGGCGGAGACAGGCAAGAAGGTTACTTGTTTGATTACAGATGCATTCTTGGTCTTTGCTGGAGAGATGGCTCAGAATTGGGGTGTTCCATGGATTCCTCTTTGGATACCCATGCCATGCAACCTGTCTGCTCACATTTACACTGATCTTATCCGCGGCGAGCTCTTTCCAAATTATGTTGGCCTCGAAAGTGATAACCAGATTGGTAATGACGACGATTGTTTGCACGAAGATAATACACTGGAAATTGTTCCAGGGCTGTCCGCAATGCATATTGCGGACTTGCCTGAAGAAGTAGTTCCATGTGACTCACTTTTGTCACAAATGCTAAGTCAAATGGGGCGAGTGCTGCATCAAATGACAGCTCTTGTCTTGAATTCCTATCAAGAGATAAATCCCACACTTCTGAATAACGATCTCAAATCAAAAGTCCCTAAGTTACTCAACGTAGGTTTTCTCACAGCCTCGTTACCAGCAGTCCCAATGGTTGCACCATCAAGTTCGGATGCCACGGGTTGCCTTTCGTGGTTAGATGAGCAACCAGCTTCGTCTGTGGCATATATCTGTTTTGGGACGATCGGCGCTCCATCTCCGAATGAGATGATAGCCTTGGCAGAGGCATTGGAAGTAAGCGGCGTATCATTTCTTTGGTCTCTCAAAGACAATTTTAAGGACCTATTGCCAAGCGGTTTTGTAGAAAAGATCACATACAAGCATGGAAAACTAGTGCCGTGGGCACCCCAAGCTCAAGTGTTGGCTCATACTGCAATCGGTATGTTTATTACGCACAGCGGGACAAATTCGGTGTATGAAAGTGTTGCAAATGGGGTGCCAATGATCTGCAGGCCATTATTCGGAGACCAAAGAATGAACGGGCGGATGGTGGACGATGTGTGGGGGATCGGAGTGAAAATTGAGGGCGGAATACTCACAAAGAGTGGAGTGCTCAAGAGCTTGGAGCTCGTTTTGGGAAGTGAACAAGGGAAGAAGATGAGGGAGAAGGCCAGAGCTCTCAAAGAGATTATAGCAGAGGCTGCTGGGCCTCTAGGGAGTGCTGTACAAGATTTTACAACTTTGGTGGACATAATTTCTTTGCATTAGCGCACGGTACATGTCTCATAGATATCCAAATAAAAAGAAAAACTAGAAATAAATCTAAAATTCTAAAAATTATTGCAAAATCTAGTGATTGTTTTGAAATTGAAGATATGTGTGCAACAAAATAAAATAAATGAGACACAATATTTACAAGGTTCGGTAAGTATACCTACGTCTTCGGGGCTTCATTATATAAAATAATTGTCATTATTTTCTCTCATCTCTAGCCAGATTCACTGGTATTTTCTTTTGCATCTCTCTTATTTCTTTCCTTTCTTTCTATCTCTTCTTTCTTTTCTATCTTTCTTTCTTCTTTTCTTTCTTTTCCTTTGTATGTTTCTCACTTCTCTTTCTTTTATTCTTCAATCTTTTATAGGAAAAAGGTCTAACAAACCTACCATACCTACTAAGCCACTCTCTTTGACAATGTTGTAAAGGTATGATCATACTTAATTGCTTATTATAATGGACATTCATACCTCCATTTATCACATTTTTCTCAATATTCACCATTTTTTTTTTCAATGCAACACTTCAAATTCCACATCCTCGCCATAACCAACATTTTCAATATTATCACCATCACCATCATCATCACTATCACTATCACCATCACCGTTGTCGTTAATACCGACATGATCTCTCTCTTCTACATTAGCATTTTTGCTTAACAACAAGCAATCTGCATTTGGCGAAGTTTCCTATGATTCCACCTTTGAAGAACAGACATCATCACCAAAACCACACTTCGAACAAACCCGATTTCTGAAATCTCTTGATTACCTCTAAAATCAAATAAAAATTCCATAGAAAATTCCGAATGAACCCCAACTTGCAAAACCTTTAGCCCCAAAATAAACACCGAAAACAACCCCAACAAGTTGAAAACTGGCAAGAAACGGCCAAACATGAAAAACCCGCATCCAAAATCACTTCCCCGATTCAAAAACTTGATACATGAAGCACACTCCATCCCCAAAATCCCTAGAAATATCTGCAAAAGCCTCTTAAATAACTGAAGAACAGAACAAAACACAAGCAGCAAGCAAAAACGACCCAAATCTGCATCTACCTTCTTTATAACATCCTCTAATCGAGAGTACACAGTTTAGAGACTTAGAGCTATAAATAAATTGGTTTAAAAACTCTTTATTTTGTGTAATCTTAAGTATTGGGACCATTTAGAAGCTAGCATTTGTAGTAGAAGCGGTAATTCTCTTGCCAGTTCTTCCTTGTCTACAATATAATCCATAAAGTTAATTACTACTAGTGATCAATGCAATATTTTCCTTTTGGTTCATCAAATGATCAATGTAATCGATATGTATATTGCTCAAATGATCAATCTTATTCTTTTCCGGTTTATCGATGTAATTTTTTTTTTGGTTACATGGAGTAAGAAATAAAATGTGGTCGCTATATCTATTGCGGAGGCCGAGTTGGGTGAGAGGGATTTCATTAGCTTTTACAAGATTCTCAGTTTGAAATTTGAATTCAGTTCTAACAATCTTTGTAATTCCCATGGCCAAAGGAGTCCCCATGCTTGTCCCGTTCAAAATTCATTTATTTTATAACTAACTCTTAGTTTAGTGACAGTATTTCTCTTCTTAATATTGAAAGATAACCTAAATTCGAATCTCCCATCACCATGCGTACTAACATAACAGAGGTCAAAAGGTTTATAGCTCTGATCCCATAAATCTTCAAGTGACTTGTAGTGTGACGGTCCATTTGCTGAAACTAGGTCTTCTCTAAGCATCATTTTGCGTTGCGGGATTCGGTTGATCTTCTCAATGTGAATTTCGGAAAGTTCCCAGTCAAAGATGTCGACATTTTGCTTCAACCTCTCCTTGTTGTAGCTCTTAAACAGCAAGTGTTGCCCCTGCTTGATACACCCATCTAATACATACCTGCCAAAGTACCACAATTGTCTGTATACTGTTAGGGTAGGATTTCTTTTCCTAGCTGTCATTGTATTCTTGTAAAACAAGTAACCATACCGTTATTGACACCTCCACACAAAAAAAAAAAAAAAAAAAAAAAAAAGAAAAAAGAAAAAAAAAATGATGAAGAGGTAATAGAGAATTACTTGAGCGATAGTCTTTCCCCATTCCTCAGCGATCTCTTGAAGGACTTTGCTTTCGAAAACATGATTACTGCCCCAACAGGACCCTATACCACCCAAAGGAGAAAAGGCAGTCACAATTATACCATTGGCTTAGCAAAAATCTCTAAGCTTCTTTTGTTGCCATAACGGGTTCATCTCGACCTGATTCACATAAGGAGGAATCGTAGTGAAGAAGAGTATATTTTCTATCTTTTTGGTAGAGAAACTACCTAGTCCAATGGATTTGGTGAGGCCGAGTCTCTGGCATTCTTCCATGCAGTGGCGGATCTACAGAGGGACCTGGGAGGTCCCAGGACCCTTCGGCGACCCTAAATCGCTGCTAGAAAATTTTTGGGGACCCCTCGTACTCGAACACAAGGTCTGTGCAATGTGTTTTGTAATTTCTGGGTTGGTAGGTTCTGTTCTTGCGAGAGGAAGAAGATGATTAAATGAGTTTCTCTCTCATCCTTTCATTCCCACGTGACCACCCTCAAACTTTCCCATTTTATTGATTTTTTAATTGGTCCAATCACATTCCGATAGCTAGCATCAACTTGATCTTTCCAAAAAATGAAAATGGGTTGTCGGTCCCTAGGTGTATATTTTTGTTAATTGGTGTGGCTTCCCTCCTTACGCATCTAGTGCCTCATTTTGCTTTCTACACCCACATATTTAACACACTTATTTGTCTTAAAATTCAATATAAATCAATATGATCTTTAAAAATATTATGTAAATTACTATGAACTTGTAATTATTTGAACTTTTATCTTATACCTTAAATTCACCAAAATACTAGGTATATAATAAATTTACTTAAATCCACTTAGACCACGCACGGAGAAGAAAGAAAATAGGACCCTTTTTAACAATTGGTATATTTTTTCTATTTTTTTTTTGTTAAATGTGTAGTTTAGAAATAAAAAAATGTGGAGAGATTTTTCAAGTCAAAGCTGATAGCACCATCTATTTGGTCATTGAGAAAGATGGTTGAGTGATGTTTTTTCATGTATTGGTAATGAAGCTATCATAGAACATTTTCAGACTATGAAACCCCGTCGTGGACGCTCAAATTAGGATTTTATAGCTTGTAATGTTGTTTTGCGTATGATTTTTGAATGAAATGTATTATATTTAACTTTTCAATGTTAATTTTGTCTATAAATTTTTTTACCTTTATTAATGGGACCCCCCAAACTTAAAATCCTGGATCCGCCACTGCTTCCATGGCTGCACACACAGCCTTGAAGTCCATGGGCATAAGGTACTCTGCATTCAGTGGGTACACCAATGTTCCTCGCTTTAGCACTGATGGGCCAGTGAATGAGATACAGGTCCAAGTACTTCAGTTGAAGATTCCTGTACACAACTTAAGAGTATTTACATTTTCAGCACTGGATAATATTGTATTAGGTATATCAATGTTTCAATGACATTTAATTTTTTGTTTTGTTTTGAGAGTAACAAAATTGCATAGACTCTTCGCTACCTAGAAGTGGCTTTTTTTTTTTTACTATGCTTTTTGTATGGATATGTTGCTTTTTGCTGATGTCTGGTCAATCTACATTAGTGCCTCGAGTAGGTTGTGTTTTAGTGGCTCGATCGGGGATCTTTCGATGTGTTGGTTTGGGTGCGATTCTATTCGTACCATTTCGGCTTTACGTGCACATTCATTATGAATGCGCTGTCGGGTTTAATCAAAGGGAAATGCTTGTAACCCATAATCAATGTCATGTTTGCTCTTCATATCGATGTCTCTTGCAACTGAGCATCAGTAATCCATAATTTTGAAGTGACGAAGACTTGGTCTCGAGAAGCAACCAGACCAAGTCCAAGTGCTTCTTGGATGGCTTCTCCCAGAGTCTGCTCAGAGCCGTACATAGAAGCCGTATCAAAGTGCCTGTAACCGAGCTTGATGGCCTCCACAACCGCTGTTTTCAGAACATGAGGCTCGAACTTGTTCGCTGCTGTGCCGAAGCCAATGGCGGGCATGCTCCTCGGGCCGGTCGACGATGCTAGCACCACCTCTGGGATTTTCTTTGCAGGGTGCATTCGCCATCTTTTGTTTCTTCTATTTGAAATGTACCTCTTTAATTGTTTTTTCTTTTTCTCTAAAAAGAGGGATCACGGTAATCCACCCCTTTCAGAGGCAGGGAAGACTTACAGAAGCATTTTAGTCTCCCCATGAATTTTTTCTCTTTTTTATTACAAGTGATATTATTGAAACCGGTTTGTATGGATGTGTTGTATGTATGAGTTGTCATCCTCACTTTAGCTAAGTCATAGGCTAAAGTCACTTTCCATAGCTTGTCATTCATCTTACATCAACCTTTCTATAGCTTGTCATTTGGTTTTTGCTTTTCCACCTGTTAGGGTAGATTTTAGGGATTGTGTTTGTGTAGTTATCCTACAATCTATTGTAGATTTCTTTTGGCTCTCTGTAAGAGTTGCGTTCACTCTCTTGTAATATTCATAATGAAATATACAACAAATATTGAAACCAAAACTCAACAGATATTCTGCACTAATTTTCATTCTTTTAGTATTAAACCAATTAATGTTAAATGTCTAAATTAATTTGGTTGGAAACAGAAAATAGTATTATGTAACTCTCTTACTATGTCGCCATTTAGTACTACGGTTTAGTGATATTCCTCTTCACTTGTAAGTGAGAAGTCTTATACTTGATTCTTGCCAAATGCAAATTTGAACCACATTGTTGCTAACCCATTGTGAGGCTAAGTCCACCCCTTTCCCCTAATATAGATAATACCGATTGTTTTAAATAAATAAATAAAAACTCTCCCATTATGTCTTTTCAAAAAAATTAAATTAAATTAAAAATTATTAAAAATTAAAAAACTCTCCTCCTATGAGGCCTTCTAGGATAATTGAT